TTAATGAGTTCAACATACTTATTTTTGGTAGTAAGGATTGCTCGATCTGTAAAGTAGAAATAGTGTTCCAGTAGATCTGAATAAATATATCCTATAAGTGTTTATATAGAATTTTCATTTTCTTAGGGAATAACCATATTATCCAGAATACAAATCATGTTGTTATCAACTATAGGTTCAGTTCTATTTCCAATATTTAACAAATAGTTTTTAAAATACTCATTATCTTGATCATTATTGACTTTTATATAAAGTTTAAAAACCTTTATGTTAGGCTATATAGGAGAATATTTTAAAGAAGCATTTATCACCTGCATGTGACTACCACATTGGATAACTAGCAATACTTGATGGAAATTTCCACCAAATACTACAATTTTTCCACTAAATAAAATATTACATTCCATTAAATCTTTAAGAGTTTAATCCAAAGCTTCAACTGCATAATGATTTATCATAGAAACCTCATCCTATATGATTAATTTTGCTAACCGTAATAGTAAAGCTAATTGACTTTGTTTACCAATAGTACATATCAAATCAGGTTGAAGAGATAGAGGTATGTTGAACCGAGAATGGGCAGTTTGCCCTCCAGGCATAATTAGCATGGCAATTCTAGATGACACTATTGCAAGTGCAATATAAGAACATGAATAAACCTTACAAAGTAAACAAAGATAAAGAAAGATTTTTCTAGATCCTGTGGGCCCATCGATGAAAAAGATACCTGGTTAATTGTTTTTAAAACATTTTATAACTTTTTTAAATATAATTTTTTGGTTCTTATTTAGCAGTTTAATTTTTTCCAAGTCATTATCAGTTACTTGAATATTTAACTCTTTTAATATTATTCTTAAAAATTGTTCCTTAGTTTGTTTACTAAGTAAATCTAGAGACAGAAGATTATATTCATCTAAACACTTGTTATGTTGTTCTAAAATTTGTTTAATTTGAAGAAGAACAGTGTTGATAAGAAGCTGACTATTCAGAATATCTTTTCTTACAAAATCTTCAGACATGGCATTGAAATTTTTATCCCATAAAGCTCGAACATCTCCTGGTTCTCTATAAATTAATATAATTGCAAATAATCTTCTAAGATCACATGGCATTCTAAACTGCTTAGCTTCTTGCATAGTATTTCAGTACGGATTTTCAGCTTCAATAATTTTATGTAACAAAGCACTCTCTTGAAATGTTGTACATAGGTGTTTTC